ACGCCACTTGCGTCCCGGCTGCACGTGATAACCAAGAAACACACCTTCCACCGATGTGGGTGACAGCTTTCCTGCTGTATTGTCGGCGCGATTGGGGTTGTTCCAGGACAGGACTTTTGCACCAAACGGGATTGCCATACCCTCAAACATCTCCCCAAAGCGCAATTCTCATGGGCTTGGAGATGAATCCAGCTGGTCACTCGTGTTTGTCGCCATGGCAAAATGCTGAACGGCGAGTGGCCAGTACTGGAGAGGCATACCCGACTGAACCAGGTTGGTGCGTGCTCCCTCAAGCATATTTCTGACTTCCCTTTCAACGAAGCTCTTTAAGGAGTCCACGTACTCTACGGAGGTTTGGTGACGATACCCTAACTCCTTGATACCAGCGATCAACTCACGGGAATTGTCGGTGTAAATGACCTCAACTGCATCATCCGGGACAACAAAATGCTGAAGTGCAACCACTACCTCATCCGAACTTTTGCATTGAGCTGGGTAAATACTCCGGAACTTCGTATGCAAATCTTTCACAACCAATCCTACCCGCTCACCACGATTCCCTTCTTCGATGTTTGCACGCACGACGACGTGATCGGCAATCAGATGATCACCGGATGCCTTAGTCTGAATGCGGCTTTCGCCCCCTTTCTTCCGTGCCTGTGGTGCGAGCATCCTTGCTCGCTGACACACCTTGCAGAATGGGTTCTTGGGGAAGTGGTGAAACTGGTGTTTCGCGGACTGTGCCTCACGCATCAAGTCTCCGACTTTTCGCGGTCGCACCAGACGGCTTTCTTCATCATCTGGCACTTCTTCATCAATGCCCTCGTCCTCTTTCTTGTCCGATGGGCTCGAGATTGCTCCCGGCAGTGCAAACAGCTTCTTCAGAGGCTTATCCTTCTTGAACTTACCCTTTCCAAAGACTTTGCAATCGGAGTCAAGGACTGGGACATGACCGTCAACACGAAGTTGTACGATTTTCTCGTCCGGTCGAACCAGGATAGGGGTACCATTTGCTGGCCAAACGAAACTGAACCCTTGGTCAAGGCATTTGATGCCAACAGGTAGCACAGCAGGGCATTCGTCCAACAAATATGGCATGCAGGGTTCCAGTAGCTGCTTCATCTGAACATCTGCTACTTCACTGGCTTCAGTCGATCCGTTCGCAGTAATCAAACTAATGGTGTGAGGTGCCCTTCGGGGGTTCTCTGGAACAGCAGCATCCATGACTTTCCTGCTGAGGAGGTCTTGCTCGCTCCCTGAATCGACCAGCATGAGAACCTGCCTTCCCTCGGTGCCGGACTCGCAACGATTGTTGGGATAGTGGTATAGGACATGTTTTCAGTTTGATCAAACTTCGGCAAGCACGGCACGTGAGCGATGACTCGGTGCACAGAAAGCGGCATGATGGTGCGTTTGAACAATCAAAGTTCCGAACGACTTCAGCCAACTGCCTAGCTTTTACTTTGGCCATGTTGGTTGCCTTCGGGTCGCTCTTGGGCACACGATCGCTCGTGGCATAATGCAGGCTGTACTTGCGTGGACGCTTGACCATCTTGCAGTGTTCCCCACGAGCGGGGATTGTGCGAATCTCAGATTTCATAACAAACGTAATCCTTCGGGCGGATGACTTGGACTTTCTCCGTGCCGGGGGAAGACAGGGCTTCTTGAGACATGACTGACCAGGCACACCAGTTGCTAAACATGCAAACCGATCTCAGGCAAATAGCAGCGTTCTTCGTGTCCCCTTTGGCTTTTCCTGGCTTTGGGGATTCCTTTCGTGGCTTCGTCTTTGGAGCCGGTGCTGCCTTTTCTCCATGTTTGAAAAAGCACTTGTCTCCCCTCCTACAAGTACCTTGTTGATCGTACCTGCACGGGGTCCTTGCCATCTCTTCCTTAGTCATACGCTTCTTCTCTTTGTCAGTGCTCTTGTCCCTCGACTCATTCCGCTCTCGTGACGGTTGACGCTTCTTGGAAGGGTCGCGTTTGGGCTTTTCATGCTTAAACTTGCAATCCTTCCCTTTTGCGCACTTACCCTCCAAAAATGCCCAGCAAATTCCCTTCTCCCGGGAAGTTGGCCGCCCACGCGACGGAGAACGCTTTCGCCGAGGATCGACAGTTGGAGCTGCATTCTTCTCACTTCGGTCACCTGGCTTGAGCCGATTTCGCTCAGCAATGCGCGACCGATTCTCACGAAGGCGTTCACGATCTATCAAATCCTTGATGCTTTCCAGTAGGAACTTGTATGACCGATGATGATCACCTTCCTTTGCACGATCGAACAGGTCAATGTCATATCTCAAGATCGAGCTAGTTCGGATCTGCCTCAAAAGGATGTCCCGAAGCACATTTTCGTGCGGTGGTTCGGGCATACCGGCGATGGTAGCGTCCCAGCGATTGATGAAACGCTTCAAGTCTGCCACGGTGTCGCCTACCTTCACCACATTGAGGAGATCTTCAACCCTGTAAAGGCTACCTGCTTCTTCTGAGGTCTTGAAAAAATCCTCAAACATGAGAAGAATCATCCTTCCACGAACCTGGACGCCTAGCTTTGCTTTCTCTTCTTTGTAATTGATGATTCTATTAGCTAGGTCACCCTTTGCGCTTCTGGTCAATGCAGCCGCCAATTTGGTGTCCAATGTTGTGAACTTACCAGGGTTTGACAACCGCTCTTCCAGAACCTTTCTCTCATCAACAGTGTTGTAAACCTCCATCAACCAGTCCCAGGCTGCATCCGGTTTGTCAGAACATGACTTGATTTCGTCCCTCACATGATGTTTCCACTGCCGATAGGTTTCAGGGGTTGGCGTATCATTCAACTTGATGTGATCCGCTTCCTTAACCTTTGGCTTCTCATCCGATTCCCTTTGAGTGAGTGACTTGACCAGTTCAATCACCTGCTCTGAGGTGATGGCGCCTGACGAAGCTGGCTTGTGAGGCTCACGAATTGAAGGTGCAGGGCTATGAAACATGTGAGTTGGTGTCTTGCCGCCATCTGCTGCAGTACCTCCATAAACAGGAAGCACCGGCTTGATAGGGACAGCTGCCCCAGGTGGGGCATCACCGGTGACGGTGGCGGCGGGCACTTTAGGTCCAAACAACCCACTCAAACGTGCACTAGCCTCTGCAGCAATGGTCTCTAAGGTACCTTTCTTTTCATGCTCCCCTTGCCTAGGCGTTACAATTGGCGAAGCAACTACGCTTGTTGGAATGTACTCTGGCTCGTCAGCGACTTTGTTGTCAGCCCTCAAGTCATCGATGATTTGTTGTAGGCTATAGTTTTCGTTTTCTGCCTCCCTCAAATCACGCTGAAGTTTGAGCTCTCGTTCATCGAACTCTGCGCGAAGTTTCACTACACCTTGTTCAGCACTCTCTGTGATTGCGTTCACTGTTTGCTGACATTCATACGTGATTTGTGTGCGGAAAGAATCCATCTCCGCTTTCTTCGCTTCAGCTTCCAATGCTTTGTCATTTTCTAGCTTGAAGATGCGTGCTTTGGCAGCACTGAGCTCTGCTTGCAACTTGTCATAGCTAGACTGGGCTTGCTGTTTCACTGAGCTAACCTCCTCATGGTGTCTGCCTTCTACCTCAATAATCGCCTGGTGGAATTTGGCTTTTACCGTGTCCATCCATTGTGCTAATACCTCCTTGTGCCTTCGTTCATCCTCAGCAATGATGGCATCCTCGTTGCCATTGTACACCTGCTGGATGTTCTGCTGCACGAATTGGAAGTATGCCGTTACCGGGGCTGAACCCATGGGATCATCTAGATCTACACGGGGCTCAGTCGCGAGACCGGCTGGCACAGCGATAGAAACAGCCGCTAAGCTACGATACCCTTTTTGCACCGCGAGCTGCAGAAGTGAAGTGCAAAGACATCCTATACATATGTGCATGGTAAAAGTGTACATATTACAGGGAGTGAAAATACAGTTTAAGGTCGTGGCACTGGGAAAATGGATTCCCATGACTCTCATGGCCTTTCAGAATTCAATGACCTTGCTGTGAGGGTCATCATCAAAACCAGCATCCAACCACTGTTTTGGACTCTTTCGATCATCAGAGCCAGCTCTGAACTGCTTCGATCATCAGAGCCATCTTCCAACTCTGCAATCGGAACTACCGAATCCTGAAGCAGTGAAGGGTGCAAAAAAGTGCTTTGCTCCGGCGCTTGCGCCACATAGAATTCGCGAATTGTTCCTTCATGGTGGCTTCTGAAGATGCCCTTAGCTGGCTGTCAAAGCGCATCACAGGCAGCGACACCACAGAAAAGGTGAAAAACAACAATTCAAAACTTACTCTTTTTATACACATGCCATGGTTCATCAACCTCATCAAAGACGAAGTTCAAATCCCATTTCTTCACTGTTGGATGCTGTGCATACAGATGAACTGTCGGCAGGCCCTTGTCCTCAAAGGTCATCTCCCAAGCACCACATGCATCAAAAGCACGGTGCTTCCTGAAAAACTGATTTTTGTTCATATTTTCATGTCCAAGGCACAGCACCAAAAAACATAAAAAGGCGGTGAGCCATAAAAGGACAAGATGCCGCTTGGTCAAGCGAAGGAATCCCACACAGGCAGTCATGGGCTGGAACACAATCCACTCCTCCTTGCGACTGGTTGCCTTGTGCTGATACTTGCAGATGACTGGGCCAAACACTGGGCAGATGTACTCAGACATCCGTTCAACACCAACGACTGGTGTGGTGGCCATCGCAAAGTGTCCCCACAGAGGTAGTGGGTCGCGCAGGGCAGCTGGAGCAGCCAAAACTGATGGAGGGGCAAAATTCTCAGGGCACTAGATGTCCAAAGAGCCACTGGTCATGTCAATATGGCCCAGAGAGCCACTCCAACAAACCTGGCAGCGTGGCCCAGAGAGCCAGCATGGCCCAAAGAGCCACTCCACCAAACCAAGAACCCACAAGCCAAGACACAGGACAAAAACACTCAAACAAGAAACAGGACACACTTTGCTGGGCAAGATGCCATCTTTTAGTCAATCAGATGCCAAGTCGGCTTCGGCAGCGCGAGCGCCCGCTGGCCTTGTATTTGCACTTTGAGCAGCCGGCAACGACCCCTTCCGGCAGGGGTTCCAGGCGTTGTCTCTTGCCAGAGGCCGCCGGCTTTCTCAGCGCAGAAGCCGGGCGCTTGGAAACCAGGCGCGGCTTGGCCAGCTTCTTCTCCTCGGCCTTTGCTGGGCTCGGTTGGACATCTGAGCGTTGACTTCCAGGTCCAGTAGCATGCGAAGGGCTCCGATCTGGTTGGCTTCCAGGGTCAGGCTCCGACCTCCGAGGCGAGACCCAGGCAGGCTCAGGTTCAATCTCCACTCTCCGAGGCGAGACCAAGTAGGCAGGCTCAGGTTCAATCTCCACTGTTTCCATTGAAGAGGATTCCTGGTCCTGGTCCTCCGCCATGCCATCAACCTCATCGTCCATGGCATGCCAGAGGTAAGCCATGCCAACCACAGCATTCAGGAAGCCTTGCTGTGTCGCAGCCCTTGGCTTGGGTCGAGCTTCCCCAACCACAGCCGCATCAACAGCTTCAGCAACAGTTGGAGCTGGCGCTGTAGGCTCCTCGGCCAACTCCAGCACCCGAGACAGCGCACCAGTCTCATCTGCCATGGGCCCACCAAGACAGGTCACCGTCACACGTCGCGGCAGGCACTCAAGCAAAGTGTGGCGAAGCAAGATGGAATGAGGGACTTGACAGACAGGTGGCGAAGCAATGGCCTGTGACCCACTCAATCAATGGCCCAATGAGCCACTCAAGAAACAAAAACAAGAACAACTAAATTTAGAAGTGCAACATGGCCCAGAGAGCCACTCAAGCAATTGTGTGGACAATTTAAAAAACACGTATTTGACACCTTTTTTTGGTTTGATAACTTCCCTAGACATGGGCAAGCCACTGTAAACAGGGAAATCTTCAATCAGGGGGCAAGCCACTCTGACTTTGCAAGGGCCAGCCACTTGCTTTGTCTCCAAAAAAGGTTGTTGCAAATGCAGTGCCGAGAGTCAAACAATTCAAATACTTTCGTTTTCTTGAGAATTAAAAGAAGAGAAAAATTGAGAATTAAAATACTTTCGTTTTCTTCAGCAGGTCCAGTGCGCATCTGTTGCTTTAAAGCCACTTTTTGAAATGGCCAAGGCCACACAGGATTCAGTAACAATACATATTCATTACTGGGAACAGGGAAACTATAGAATGAGGGGCAAGCCACCTCTCGTTGGAATGATGGGCAAGCCACATCTTGTTGGAATGAGGGGCAAGCCACCTCTGGTTAGTTTATAGGATCAATGGCAAGGTTCCCGTCAATATTTTCACTTCTGAAAAAAAGCAGGCAACTAATCAGGGGCAAGCCACCTATAGAATGAGGGGCAAGAAGGTTTCCGGACATGATGGGCACAGTGTTTGGACTCAGGTCGATCTGCACGGATTGCTGTGCATCGAACGCATGAGGTTTCAAGTTGTGGGCCTCTGACTGTTCAGCAGCTAGCAGACGTGCGTCCATGATTGAACTGCTCAGGCTGACTGACGCGGCTCTTAGACTGGGACCTGACCTTGATCATTCCTATTCAAATGACTTGCAGGCTCTTTCGTGTTCGAAAGGAGCGCAACGGACCCTGGCAGCGTGTTATTTTTCACATTGGACGTGACGAACGTCTCGGATTGGTTCTGTGGATCATGCGCTGGTGAGGCCAAATCGTTGAGGTCAATTAGATATAGTCCCTTCTCATTCATTGCGATGGGGATGGTCTTCTTGAGAAGGGGGCTGTAGACTTTCTTTGAGTGGTGTCTACTACGGCCTCTATTGCACGCAAAAGTGTATTCGAAAGCAAAAAACGCTGTGAGTCCTGGCACAATAGCAATCTTCAGAAACAGGAGTCCGATTGGCGCTACCGTCATGGCATGCTTACTTTCCAGGGTTCCGTGGTTGCCGAACCTGAATGTTACCTGACATGGACACCGTTTCACTTGCTCGTCTCGAACACTTGGCTTCAAACTCTTCAAGACGGCAGCGACGAATTGGCTGCCAATCACCGTCTTCGTGGCTCCGGTGTCAAGGATTCCAAAGGCACCGAAAGTGGAAAATGAGGTGCAGGCACTTGCTTCTTCGTGACATGTGCTGGTCAGAGCGATGGCTGGCTCGAACATGACTCCATTCCTGCATGTGGCCATGGTCTTTTCATGGTTTTGATTGCTTTCCACAATGGTTTCCCTCTCATTGTTCACAATCCCCTCACCCTCATTGGTTGGCAAAGAAAAAGTTGTTCCTGACTCTAAGGCTCATCTATGGTGCCCCAGGCACCTCTGGCAAGGTCAAGAACTCCAACGGGAGGGCGCCGGAGACATCCCCTGTGGTCACTACGGTCGGTGCAGCAGGCAGGTTCGATGATGCACTGGATGCGCGGTGGCGATCAGGACACTCGGCCTTCCAGTGACCCTTTTTCCCGCACAGTCAGCAGCTGCTCCATAATGCGTTCCTGAAAAAATTAGCGTTTTCCGGCATTGAAACCCTTTGAACTGCTGACCGCTTGGCCAAAACGATCGGAGAGCTTTTTTCTCGCCTCCATGTAGGTGGTGTGAGCGAGTGCCAAATCCGAGTCATCTTGCAATGCTTCAGCTGCCACGGATTCGAACTCAGCAACTAAGGCAGTGTCCTCGTCGCCTTCATTCGCGAGCTGTTCAAAGTCCTCCTCAGTGATGTCCTCCATGGTCAATGAAGAAGCCGGCTCCAAGCGCAAGCGTGCGGATTGCCTGGGACACACGAGACATGGTCAGCGTACCGCAGTCATGGACATCAGCCTCCACTAGAACACGCCTCTTGACTCTTGTCATCACTGCTCAGTGAGGATCCACGCAACACTGTATACGCTTGCAATTGCGAAAGTCCATCTTCTTGGACAGCAGTTCGCTCCAGGGCACATCAGCGCGTGCAAGATATGAATCGCCCGCACGCTGGGTGCATCGGAACAACGCCTTTTCAGCACTTTCGTACTTGAGTTCCAATGAAATCTTTCCCCAATGTCGACCAAGCAATGCTATCAGCTTTTTGACTTGCGACTTGTCCCCACTGCTAAGCCTGCCTTGTGCAAGCTCAACTTTTGGAAGGCGGTTCCGGTTGTGGCCAAAATCAGCCTTGTGATCAGCTCTGGGATCTTGTTGGCAGGCCAAACTTCCACAAGTAATTCAACTTTGCTAGTGTACTGCTCTAAGTCATCACGGGCTGGATCAAAAGGCGGCGCCAAAATTGCCAGTTGGTTCGGGACAAAAGATGTCCCTTCTTAACCTGAGGCAGCAGCTTCTGTACCCATCTCTTCAATCCCAAAGGTCCGCTGGAGCCCCCCTTTTGGGAGGCTCCGCAATGTGGATTTCACACTGGTTTGGACGGTTTGGATGCAACCTGAATTCAATTAAACAGCGCACCTGCGCTGTCCCTCAACTCCCTTGCAAACAGCGCACCTTTGCTAAACTCTTGTTTTTGCACCGCCACTGCCAGAACGATCTGGTGGCAGGTCTTCGTGCCTTGCACGCTCAAGCCATGCAACGAGCCCTCGGCCCACCCTCCACGCCCTCGTGCCCAAAACAGGCTGCGGGACATGGATGGACCCTCAAGGCACCCTTGGTCAAACAAAGGTGCATTCGCAATATATGTATCCAGTTGTTGCATGCCACACATAGGAATGATTCATGTTGCGTTTCCAGCCAGGGTCGGGATTCTCGGAAAGCTACAAAATGTTTAGCTGACTTTCGACTCAGCGCCAGCCTAAGGAAGTGTATGAGGAGGCATCGCAAGTAAGCTACCAGTTTGATGCAGAGCTGGACAACACAAAAGTCACAATGGGCACTCTGGACAACCTTGGAATGCTTGGTAGGGATTATTCCTTCTGGTCGTTTTGGGATACAAGCAGCCTAGTGACAAACAACAAGTACCCCTTGTTGGGTGAGCAGAGTGGGCTGAACTTGTATGTGACCAAAACCGGAACCGACACAGTGGAGTTGGAACATGGCCTTGATGGATCAAGTTGCCAATCTACAATCAGTATTCAGACTGACGGCACTTGGAATCACGTCGCGGTTGTCTATTCAGCTTCTGCACAAACCTCCGAATTCTACGTCAACGGGCAGCTTGAAGACTCCACTTGTTCTGCATTCAGTCCATCAGATGGCACTGTCGAGTACGGTGGTGGTGGCGGCCAAGGACAATGGGCGGGCAGCTTGCAGCAAGCCAGGCTTTACACTGAGGCCATTGGAACAGAGCACCTGCTAAACTACACCAACTGGTGCTTGAGCTACAGCTGTAGCGCAGGCTATCGGCGCAATTCGAGAAGAAGACGTGTTGTTTGCGCTACCCCTACCTGCTCCGATGCTGAGTGTTGCGAGGCTTGGCCGGCATGCAGTGATGCGGACTGCACAATTGACTCAAAGCCCCTCGATCGATCCAGCGAACGCCTCGCACATTTTCTGACTTTGATTCGAGGCCGTGGTTTCAACATTCGATCACAAACCCTTTCCAGTTTCAAGCTGCCAACTAAGGTACACATCAAGGAGGCGCAGCTACTGCTTTCGCAACTGCACTGAGAACCTTTGTTGTACTTGGCGAGTTCTTGGCAGCTTTGAACTTTTGGACTCTTTGGCACCAACAGTTGCACTGTGTCTCGGCTTTTTGGTACGACACCCTGACAGGGACACATACACAGCATAGCCGCATAGCATATCCACGGGCACATTGTGACATGATATCTATACAATAGTTTGTAGTATTATTATAGTATTTATGGATTAATGTTGGAGCTATGTGTGCACCGTTGCCCTTTCAAGAGACCTCGGTGCTGTTTCTGGCCTGACCTCACCAGGGACAGCAATGAGTGGGAGGATGCAGGCTCCAACTGTACGGATCAGTTCGACGACGCTCTCCCAGTGAATCGAACTGGCACTGTGGATCGCACAACAGTGGGCAGCTACACCCTGACCTATGATTGCATGCAAAATTCGGAAGATGTCATTCTGGCAACTCAGTGAAAACGACTGAGTGGTCCTGAACAAGGTAAAGAACCAATCACTTGCAAAGCAGTGCAAACCCTGAGGCTACACTGACCAGAACAGTTGAGGTGGTGGAAAGCATGTACATCAACCCTGACCTGAACCTCAGCTGCTATTGAGTGTGTACGGTTGCCCGCTTTGTCCTTGTTCCACCGATTCCGCTGCACCATTTTCAAGGTATTGGATTGTTCAACGTGAAGCCGGAGTTTGGAGTGATGCTGTGTCTCAGTGTTACGATACTGCAGCATCTTAGATGCAAACTTGCCCTAATGTTGTTGGATCTGGTTCCTTAGCTGCGCCCAGTCAACGCCGTTTGGGCAACATTGCCGAGGATACCTTCAACGCAGAGATCGCTGACATGCATCAGTACTTCAACTGGTCTGCTGACACACGGCTTTTTCTTGGAACGTCTGGTGGCAGCACCGAGGCAGGTTCCACCTTCAAGGTTGTATAGCCAAATCCAAGACACAGAAGTACTAGGGTTTTGGCTTTTTGCAGATTTCCGCCAATTTCCGCAGATAGCTTTTGGTTGATTGAGTGGTGGCCTATTCCATGTCACAGGTGAACTACACTGTGAGCTACCATTGCTCTTTGACAGACGAGGTCATTAACAAAACTCTCATGGTGCGGGATGCGATACGTTCCTTAGATTGATCATCGGATAATGTACGAGGGCTCGCTCGCTTGTGTGAAGGTTGAATACCGTGTGTTTGGGCAGCTTGATCATGCTTGATTGCTGCTTTCGCTTGCTTGCGCGCGAGGTTTGTACGGGCCAGATCCACATGTAGTGCGAGCTGGTCGGCTCCGATGGAATCAGGGGCAATGCACCTTGGACTATTCGTACATTTTTCATGTTGCATTTGTTCGTCCTTTGTTTTTCTCATTCCGAAGCCGGAAGCGTTTGTTTAGCGTCACCGTGATGGACGACGATTCAGGCGAAATCTGTGACACTTCAACGACTGACCTGGATGAATCTGCATGCAGCTACTCACATGACAATTCAACGACTGCAGACAAGTGCGGCTTGAGTTCCACAGGCCCGACAAAAGACTTGCAAGCAACTTCATGTCAGAGTCAAACTGGAGATAAGATGGGACAAGTATTCACGCCGCTCCGCGGCAAGGTCCGCCCGCACCGCCATGAAACAGTTGCCCAACAAAAACGGCGAATAGCGAGGTTTTTGAGGTTGACGTTGCCAAAAACGCCACTATGCGCCGTATTTTACAATGTTTTTATGCTCTGTGAGGCAGACCCCACTCCAAATAGCGATGTTTTTGAGCTTGCCGTGGCCCAAAACAACGCTATTTACAGTGTTGTTGAACCTGCTGTCAAAAAACACCGCAACTTGCGACGTTTTCAACAACATGGTCGCCAAAGACACTGCTATTTGCGAGGTGTTTTTACATTTTTGCGCAGAGAACTGAAGCCTCGGCAATGTACAAAAACACTGCAAAAAATAAACAAACAATGCAAAAAAATAGGCCCCCCCAGGTAAACCTGTACCTTACAGTTGTTTATGCCATCCGGATGATCACGCCCTGAGCACCTTCGGTCCGGGCAGATTTTGCTTTTGCACTTGTGACTCCCTGCGAAATTTGTTATGACGTTTTGTCAGACAGTTTCTAGGTTGGAAGGCGAGCGCGAGCGATGGGGCTGGGGCCTATGTGGAGCTTGACTTGGGCTCTGATTTGCAGGTGACAGGCATGGCTGAAGTGTCCGTTTTTCAACCAGGCTACTTTCACGACTTTCACCTTACCACCATTGACAGGAGTTATCACAAAAGGCCATTCCATCGAGGAAGCCTGGATCAAGACCTTCACGGTCTCGTACAAGACAAATACTAGCTCAGATTGGGTGGAGCTTTCGACTACCTTTCCAGGGAATGAGGACCAGAGCTCTGAGGTGGAGAACATGCTGGACGCAGTTGTGGAAGCGAGGTACTGGTGACATGCCCCATTTTGTAAGGAAAGTGCTCCTGGTTTTGTGCTCTTGCGAACTTGTGGCCTTTGTTCGGCTTTGTGTTATCTAGGTTCCCGGTTTTGTAACTCTCAAGGCGAATCACGGCACAGACCTTTGAGAATGTGGTTGCTGCGCGAGTCGCCATGATGGTGTGCCAGTCGACTAGTAGCTTTGCCGCAAAACAGGGGGCGTGGCTCAAGCAAGCACAGAATCTTTCTTTTGGCTCGCTGGTGCTCGTCAGGATGGAAACAGGCATGCCCTAAGACCGAATGAAAAGATGGGAAGCAGGTGAAGCAGTGTGGCAGATCAAGCGCGCGCAGTATTCGTACTTCGATCAAGCTTAGGTAGCAGCACTGATGCGTACTGTCCCTGTGGCTACGTTGTTGATGACAATGAGCTGTGCCGGACAGATGTCTTAGCTGATTGCATTGATTCCACGGGCCTTTTGACTGACTTTACGACTTAGCACACAAACAATCACAAACAGGTAGAATATGTATGTAACCGCTATTTATTTATAAATGCGCAACACCGATAAATCGCCGATAAAGGATTATATAATTATATAATTAGACCTGTGCATAGAATTATGTATGTGCACGTTGATGACCGTTGGTGTTGACTTCCAATATTTTCCAAACACGGAAGTTTGACCTCAGGAACAAGCCAGAGCATCACAATGAATCCAGCGACCTTCTCTGCTCTGGATTCTGGCCTGCAAAGTACCGCTCTAGTTTTTCCTTGTGCTAGAAATGTCGAGGTTAATCATATTACTTGTTTGAGAGTCTTTCTCTTGGGCACCTCTTCGGGTATAGAATTGCAAGAATCTAGTTATTTAGATAGATAACTACCACTTACAGTGAATTCCTCAGTAAAAACATGCATTTTTTTATCGAAGAAGGCCGTCGAAAGGTCTTTTCATTAGACACCTTAAGTTTGATTTGAATTAGTTCCCCACCTGCCAGGTGAGGGTTGTTAGTTTTTATTTGAGCTCGACTCTACTCCTCCTTCATCTTCTTCTCCTCCTCCTCGCCATCTCCTCGCCAACTCTTGATTGCAGTGGGCACTGCTGCACCTCAACCACAAGTGGACACTACCGGACCTCAACCGCCAGCTCCCGAGCATAGTGGGCATTGCTGGACCTCAACCGGCAGGGTCCGAGCCCAGTGGGCACCACCGGACCTCAACCACTAGATAAGAATGTCAGATAGAGTGCCAGATAGAATGTCAGAAGATACGCCGAAGATATGCCGGAAAGAATGTCAAAAGCTATGCCAGATAGGGAATGAATGTCAGAAGAGGTGCCAGAAAGAATGTTGAAGTGGTGTTTCAATACATGAATGTTAGGAAAATGGTCAGATTGACACGTAATGGTGGGGGTCGCTCGAAGTAAAGTAAGTTCTTTTATTGTTTTATATCAGAGCTCTCGATGCCACCAAGACGCCCACAGAGCAAGTGGTTACATACAGTTGCCCGGGTGCGCCAGACTATACCCGCACCGTGCAAATCCGGAACGCACTTGATTTGAACGGAGATTCCTCTTTGGTAATTCCTGCTGGAGTTGAAGGCTGGTCAAGTTTAGACACTGCCAAGGGTCCATCGAGTTGATTTCACTGATAGGCTACGGGCGACAGGCTACAGTTCTAAGTTTCAGATTCTACAGTCTTGTGCCCTGGGCAGGCCGTTGGTCTGACACAACGGGCAATTTTTATGAAACTGGTGGTTCGTGCATCACACACGATGGCGACGAGTATGACCCCGTGGCTGACTATACCGATTTCCCATACACCCACGAGCCGCTTGACATTAGCCTTGTATGGGCACATGATTCATCTATGTCATCATCAATGATGGATAATTTAGGACCACTCCTTGCTCCGCAGCCTGAACTCTTATCATGCGGGGAATGGAGTGTTGTTGAAGGGGAGGGTTCTTGTGGCGCAGAGGTGTGATTTCCTTCGTGGGGTTCTTGTTTTTACCGTGCTTACTCCGCGTTCGGCGTTCTCCAGGGCATCGCAACTCACACAACTCAGCTCGCACTAACTGCAGTTTCCGGTGCTTTCTGATGCCCGTTTGCCACTTTGTCACCTCAGTTCTACCTTCTTTAGCAAAAGCGTGTAAGGGGGAAAGGTGGCGGTGTTCAAAGATGTTGGCTGTAACTGTAATGGAGACGCCCGTTTCGGAGAAGGCCTTGGGTTTTGGGCTCAACATGCTGAAGGGATATGAAGCAAACCATCAGATACCCAAACAACTACGGTAACCGGGTGAAGAATTCCCAACGAATGCAATACAGCTGAGACATACAGTAGAATGCAGGAGTGGCCTCACTGCCTCATTCATTGTTCTTCAAACAACCTCTCCACACGCTGCGTCACACTTTTGTATATATAAATCCTGCAGTGGGTGGCTCCAAGGCCACCGGGAATGCATCTCAAAGAACTCAATAGTTGTTGCGAGTCATCCTCCGTACCGGAGCAACTTGCGCCGCATCTGACTGAAACCGCTCACCTCAACTTGAAACATTTTGTAGCTGGGTCATGGTTCTCTGCTGGGCACACCAGGCCGAACAAAGTCTCATGCGCGTCCAACGACAAGATGGCCCGCAGTTCCCATCTGCAGGACAAGATTTTGGCATTAACTCATTCTGTTTGCAAGTATCGGTGGCCAAGACCATTTGCGCATGATTGAGCTCTCATGTGCTGCCAAAATCTAATCATGCATTTTAATCATTTTATAGAATATCTCCGCGATTTGATCAAAATGATCGATGGATGATACGCTGGTGGTGGATTCTCCTGCGCTTGTTCGAATTTAATTTGGCTCAGGCGGTTGGGCAGCATGTTGAAACATATTACTATACTTTATTATACTATATTACTCGTAGTATACAATGTCTTTGCACAGACACTTTCCTTTCACGTTTAGATTTATCGTGTGGCTTCCTTGGTGTTCACTGCATCCATATCAGCGTTGGAAAGGGACTTTTGGAGTCGTTTTCCAGCTGCCTACTTAGTATACCAAACTAGCAGTTGGCGCACCCTTCCAAACAGGAAGCCAGGATCGCATGAACAACAACAGCTGCAATATTTTTGAGATCGGAGCTAGATATTGCAACTATGACAATAATCAACTACTTGTACTTTACGAACGCTAGCAGCCACCCGATAGGCTAAGCTGGAGTGATTGATGGGCGAACGAAGTGTGCATTAGAGGGGGTGGGGGGGTGGTTGCGAGGTTGGACCTGGCGGGTGCGTGAACCCAGGGCCTGGTAGGGGAGAGCGAAGAAAAAGGGCGGGCCGGATGTAGTCGAAATGTAAGGTTTTTATATAAAGGCCTTGGTGATGCGAGTGATGCCAAAAAGTGAATAGTGCAGACTCAGCCCCTTTTGTTGGGTCCGTTAGTTTGATCACGAAAGCTAGCCTTAGCTAGCTGGAGTTGCTCTTGCTTTAGCAAGTTAAGTGACGGGGTGGACGCACCTCAGAAACCTCAAATAATTGATTAAATCAATCTTATGGACCCCCCCCCCCCCCCGCGGTTCGACTCCCCCCTGCGCGCGGTGAGCGGGACCACCAAGCAGCTGCAGCACACCAAGCATCTGCAGCGCCCAGCGCAGCAGCGGCAGCGGCAGTAGCAGCAGCACCAGCAGCAGCAGCAGACCACCCAGCGGCGGCAGCAGCAGCAGCAGCAGCATACCCAACGCCGCGGCAGCAGCAGCCGCAGCAGACCACCCAGCGCCAGCAGCAGCAGCAGCAGCAGACGACCCGGCGCCTGCAGAGCACCCAGCGCAGCAGCGCCCAGCGCAGCAGCGGCAGCAGCAGCACCAGCAGCCGCAGCACCAGCAGCAGACCACCGGAAGCCCGGCTAGCTTTCGTTCACCCCCTCTGGCCTCAAGTTTAAGCATGTCACGAAAGCTAGCATGCTAGCTGAGTTCTTCTTTGCTTTAGCAATGTTGTGGTGGGAGGGGCTGCGTGCCTTAAAGATTGATATATCAAGCTACCCCCCCCCCGCGGTTCAACTCCCAGCTGCGCCGTGTAGGGGGTTGGTTGAACGTGTGAACGTGGTTGGTTGGGTGTAACGGTGGCTTGGTGTAAAGGGTGCTGCTGCTGCTGCTGCCGCTCTGCTGCTTGCTGCTGCTGTTTGCTGCTGCCGCTGGTTGCCGCTTTTGTAGCTGCTGCTTTGCTACTTGTTGCGGCTTGGTGCTGCTGCTGCTGTTGCTGACGACGCCGCTGCTACTGCTGCTTGCTGCTTGCTGCTGCTGCTTGCTGCTTGCTGCCGGTGGTGCTTGCTGCCGGTGGTGCTGCTGCTGCTGCGGCTTGATGCTGCGCTGCTGCTGCGTGGTGCTGCTGGCTGGCTGCTGGTTGGTGGTTGCTGCTGGCTGCAGGCGGCAGCTGCTGCTGCTGCTGCTGCTGGCTGCTGCTTGCTGCATAGGACTTGTACTTCACCGTTACAAGTTGTTTATCCCTATTTCTAACCTAATGCATGCATAAGCGGGTGGTAAATTTACCCCCCAGGCTTGCTATAACCATACACCGGCTATTTCCTCAAGACACTCTATTCTTGATACCTTTTACCAGTGCTTATCCTACACTACGGACGCCCTAGTGTATGCACAGTCCTTGTGATGCTTACCCCTCGTTCCGGCTCAAGGCATACATAAGCGGGGGGTAAATTTACCCCCCAGATTTGCCATAACCATAAGCCGGCTATTTCCTCAAGACACTCTACTCCTTCTACCTTTTACCCGTGCTTATCCTACACTACGGACGCCCTAGTGTATGCACAGTCCTTGTGATGCCAGAAATGCTTACCCCTCTTTCCAGCGCAAGGCATACATAAGCGGGGGGTAAATTTACCCCCCAGATTTGCAATAACCATACACCGGCTATTTCCTCAAGACACTCTATTCCATATACCTTTTACCCGTGCTTCTCCTACACTACGGACGCCCTAGTGTATGTACAGTCCGTATGATGTCAGAAATGCTTACTCCGACTCAAGGCATACAAAAGCGGAGGGTATGACATAAAATCTAGCAATCCTCACCTGACAGGTGGGGGACTATATATATAAATATATATATATTTGTATGTATGAGTTGGAGAATATGGCTGATGGGTCAGGGGATGTCAGGGGTGCTTCGTTGAATCCCACACCCTGTTGCTAACAGAGTCTCGCTTCCAACTCCTTTACGCGCTCACCGTTCTAGGGGCCCCCCAACATTCACGCTTTAATTGATTAACTACAACCGTGTATGATCGACCCCTCAGTCCCTTCCAGGGCTGGCTTTCGCCCCCTCCCTTCTCAGGTGGTCAATATGATCAACCTCCCAAGCATAAGGCATAAGGAAAACATAAGGAAACGCCGCGGTTTTCTTTCGTGTTCCCACGGAACAGGTTGGGTTGATTCGTGCCCACAGTCCAGGGCGATCAGAAGAATATAAAGGAAAACGTGCCTGACCTTTCTGCG